CAATTGTGATCGTAAGTTGAGGACTATCTGTATTATGTGGCTAAATTCTCTGGGGAATGTTTTGGCTCCGTTCCTTCCCTATAGAAAACCTAATATTTTAGAGTAGTCTTGTAAATTCAGAGAAGGGCAAATAAAAATACTAGTAGAAATTGGAGCTCCATGGATGTTATAGAACAGTGATGGCGAACCTTTTAGAGACCGAGTGCCCAAACTGCAACCCAAAACCCACTTATGCATCGTCGGGTGCCGGGTGGGTGTGGCCCATTGGGTGGGTGTGGCCCATTGGGTGGGTGTGGCCCATTGGGTGGGCGTGTCTGCAGTGGTAACGGCAGACTGGGTGGGACTAAAAAGTTCAATCAATCAATTCCAACTTTGCAAGATCTTTTTTTTTCCCGCGAGAAGTTGAAATTGACTGATTGATTGAACCTTTTTTTTTTTTTGCACATGGCGGCGGAGGCCTAAAACGAAAAGGTTTTATAAAACCCAGATGAAGGCCTAGGACTGGGGCGACGGCGCGCGTGCCCACAGAGAGGGCTTTGAGTGCCGCTTCTGGCACCCGTGCCATAGGTTCACCACCACTGTTATAGAATCAAAGTCAAATCTATCATGTCAGATATTAGATTGTTCACTGATCAAGAACCAAATGCTGTACAGTAGTTAGGTTTTGGCATGTATCTTGTATCTGATGTAGCCATCTTTGCATGCAAAGTGTACAGGTCACCAGGAGCCTCTGTAACGCTGCAAGGATTTCTAGGATGCTTCTTCATATTCTTATACTGGGTGCTTTTAGGAAGGACTTTTAATGTCAAACTAACCAATCACAGCTATTATTTCCTTTCCTCTTTCCTTAAAAGGAAAACAACAGATGATGAAGGATGGGAAGATTCAAAACAGAGGACAACTGTATCTGAAACCATCACAAAACACCCGAAAATCCCTAACAAGCAGTTTTTAGATGGGATTTTGTCTCAGCATAACCTGCTTTATTTCAGATTCTTATAGACCAGTGTTTCTCAATTGTGGCAGCTTGAAGAAGATATGTGGACTTTAACTCCCTGGCTGGGGAATTCTGGGAGTTGAAGTCCACACATCTATAACCAAGGTTGAGAAACACTGTTATAGAAGCCTGCCAAGTTTTCTCCACTATCGTTTTTGGGTTGTTGCTGGAGAGAGAGGCTTAACAAAAAGCATCCATTAAACAAGGGAAGAGTAACCGTGAAGTTCCTTATCACAGATAGCATGAGGAGTCCCCTATCAGAAAGCAACCCCCAAATAAATGTCCTTAAATCCACAAGGCAAAAAAAAACAAAGCAAAAAACAAAACAGAGCAGAATCCTTTGCAACTATTTCAAAGTCCCTGAATCTGAGTACTTAATTTTGGTAGAAAGCATCCAAAACTTTGCTTAGAACAAGAGCAGGCAACCTGTTGACCAGGTCGTACTTCGGACTACAGATAGTCCTTGACTTACAACCATTCATTTAGTGACCATTTGAAATTACGGTGGCACTGAAAAAAAGGGACTTACAACCAGTCCTTGCACTTTTGGCCATTGAGGCATTTCTCACAGTCACTTGGTCAAAATTTGGGCGCTTGGCAACCGGCATGTATTTACAATGATTGCAGTGTGCTGGGGGGGGGGGGNCAATTGTGATCGTAAGTTGAGGACTATCTGTATTATGTGGCTAAATTCTCTGGGGAATGTTTTGGCTCCGTTCCTTCCCTATAGAAAACCTAATATTTTAGAGTAGTCTTGTAAATTCAGAGAAGGGCAAATAAAAATACTAGTAGAAATTGGAGCTCCATGGATGTTATAGAACAGTGATGGCGAACCTTTTAGAGACTGAGTGCCCAAACTGCAACCCAAAACCCACTTATGACCAGGTCGTACTTCGGACTACAGATAGTCCTTGACTTACAACCATTCATTTAGTGACCATTTGAAATTACGGTGGCACTGAAAAAAAAAAGGACTTACAACCAGTCCTTGCACTTTTGACCATTGAGGCATTTCTCACAGTCACTTGGTCAAAACTTGGGCGCTTGGCAACCGGCATGTATTTACAATGATTGCAGTGTGCTGGGGAGGGGCAGAGGGGGGCATGTAATTGTCATTTGCCACCTTCCCAGCCAGCTTCCAACAAGCAAAATCAATGGGGAAAGCTGGATTTGCTTAACGACTGCCTGCTCCACTTTACTGCAGGGGTCTTCAAACTTGGCCCTTTTAGGACTTGTGGACTTCAACTCCCAGAATTCCTCAGCCAGGCACATGTGCCTGGCTGAGGAATTCTGGGAGTTGAAGTCCACAAGTCCTAAAAGGGCCAAGTTTGAAGACCCCTGCTTTGCTGCAATAATTCACTTAACAAACTATGACAAAAAAAGTCATAAAATTGGGCACAACTCGCTTAACAATCGCTTTGCTTAGCAATGGAAATTTTGGTCCCCATTGTTCTTGCAAGTTGAGGGCTACCTGTATAACTCTCACGATTCCGGACAATTCTTCATAATAGCTTGGGCCATAGCTAAATGCACAAGAAAAGTGGGATAAGCAAAAATGCCATCAGTCTCTAAGATGATGGTGCTTGTACAGGTAGCTTTTCTGAGGCGGTTCTTGTTACTTTGAACTTTTCTCCTCCCAGCATATTATGCAACTGAGCTGGGAAATTATTCCAGCCCCACCCAGGTCAGTCAAGGGCTTGCAGGAGATCCAAATCAGCCTGTGACAGAAGCTGACTGGACCTGCATGTTCAACCTTCTGAGAGACTTACCTGTGTGTTACAGACAGGCCGATATCTCTTCGTACCGTTTGTGGCGATCCCTGGGGGAAATCTAGGAAAAGAAGATTTTTAAAAAGTCGACATGTTAGTTGACGTCAATGTCTTTTGTCAAATGGCCTGCAAGTCGGGAGGGCCATTGAGGTAGAAACAAATGAGGCAACTTTCACAGCTCGCCAGAAGTTTCTGATACAAGTCGCTCTCAATTTACAGCCGTTCGTTTAGCGACCATTGGACGTTACAATGGCCTTGAAAAAAAGTGATTGCAACCAATCTTCAAATGTGTGACCATTGCAGCATCCCATGGTCACATGATCGAAATTCAGCAGCTGGGCAACCAGCATGGATTTATGATGGTTGCACCATCTCAGGGTCACCTGATCGCCATTTGTGTGTCAAAATATGCCTGAAAGTCCTTTTAAGTGTTTCTTTAATCAGACACATAACATTGTGACTGTCCCAGCCGGCTTCCGACAAGCGAAGGCAATGAGGGAAGCCAGATTTGCTTAACGACCAGGTGGTTCATGTCAAGGTATTGATTTAACAGCTAACCAGCTTATGCAATGTAAGATGTAAGATGTAATGTAATGATGGGAATGACTCAGCAGGGTCTGTGTCTCTTTAAGAGCCTTTGTATAAAGCAGGGGTCTTCAAACTTGGCCCTTTTATGACTTGTGGACTTCAACTCCCAGAATTCCTCAGCCACGCATGCTGGCTGAGGAATTCTGGGAGTTGAAGTCCACAAGTCATAAAAGGGCCAAGTCTGAAGACCCCTGGTATAAAGGGAAGGCTCTGCTGATGTGTTCTCTCTCTTTCATTTCCTGCTGTAATTGTGGTTTGTAGGATCCTGCTGTATTAGCACATGTATGTATATTGTTCCTGGTGTATGATATTGTAGATCGTGTAAGATAAACTACTGTTTAATGCAAACCACTGTTTATTATGTTTACTCCTGGATTATCTCAGCGCAATAACATCTGCAATAATTTGCTTAACAACTGTGGGAAAAAAGGTTGTAAAATCAGGCGGGGGGGTCACTTAACCGCCTTGCTTAGCAATGGAAATCCTGGTCCCACCTGTGGTCGTAAGTTGAAGACTACCTGTATACTGTATGTCAATTAACTTTCTACACAGGAAGCACAAATTAGCCAGAAGGGGATGGGGACAGGACCCTCTGAGGGACAGGGAATGGAGGTTTTAAGTTATGAAGTGGGTGCCTTAAGCTTTGCAAGGTTTATAACACCATTTTGTGTTGGGAGAAATCCTGGGAATTGAAAGCTATCCATCAATTAAACTTTACAGAATTGAGGAACACTGCTAAAAAGCTTCTAGCAGATTTTTTTTTTCCTTTGCAACTCTAGGTGGCACCAAATTCTCATTTCTCAATCTCTTCTGGTACTGTATGTCTATTTCTCAATAGAATTTTATTTTATTTTTTTAAAATACTGTTTTTTTCCCAGCAGTGGTGGAGGGGATTGCCAGCCCAGTCAGTTGCTGGGAATGTGAGAGTAGCTAGCTCATTTTCCATAAATCCAACAGATTGTTTCAAATAACAAGCAAGTGCTTCCAGAAGCAGAAGCAACTAGAGGTCACTTTAGATTAAAATAAAATAATAGAATAACAGATTTGGAAGGGACCTTGTTTCTAGTCCAACCCACTGCTCCAGGAAATTATGTACCATTTCAGACAAATGGCTGTCCAATCTTTTTTTTTAAATTCCAGTGTTGGAGCATTCACTGCTTCTTGGGGCAGGTTGTTCCACTGGTTAATTGTTCTAACTGTCAGGAAGTTTCTCCTTAGTTCTAGGTTGCTTCTCTCCTTGATTAGTTTCCATCCGTTGCTTCTTGTCCTGCCCTCAGGTGCTTTGGAAAATAGCTTGACTCCCTCTTTTTTGGGGCAGCCCCTGAGATATTGGAAGACTGCTATCATGTCTCCCCTCGTCCTTCTCTTCATTAAACTAGACATACCCAATTCCAGCAACCGTTCCTTATATGTTTTAGCCTCCAGTCCCCCTAATCATCTTTGTTGCTCTTCTCTGCACTCTTTATAGAGTCTCAACATCTTTTTTACATCGTGGTGACCAAAACTGGATGCAGTATTCCAAGTGTGGCCTTACCAAGGCATTGTAAAGTGGTATTAACACTTCACGTGATCTTGATTCTATCCCTCTGTTAATGCAGCCCAGCACTGTGTTGGCTTCTTGGGGGGCTGACTACAGTCAACTTTAAGAGACAACCTTTCTACTTTCCAATCAATTTTTTTTGCAGATCTCCCTTTTTATTTTATAGCCAGCACAATCAAACTGAGGCAGGAGAATTCACAGGACGTTCACGAGTGGAATAATAAGAAAAGGCTTTACAGTGAATGAAAATATTTGGAATTTGTAATGTCATGGGATGAACTGCAAAGTTTTGGAAAACTGTCTATATTTATCTTCAATTTGGTGTACGATTGGTATCCAAAATACAGGAAGTCTTCGATTTATGACCACAATTGAGCCCAGAATTTCTGTTGCTAAGCGAGACAGTTGTTAATTGAGTTTTGCTCCACTTTATGACCTTTCTTGCCACAGTTGTTAGGTGAACCACTGCAGTTGTTAAATTAGCAACATGGTTGTTAAGTGAATCTGGCTTCCCCGTTGACTTTGCTTGTCCGAAGGTCACAAAAGCAGATCACATGATCCCAGGACCCTGCTTCAGTCATAAATATGAGCCAGATACCAAGCATCCAAATTTTGATCACATGAACATGGGGATGCTGCAATGGTTGTAAGTGTGAAAAACGGTCGTAACTTTTTTCAATGCTGTTGTAACTCCAGCGATGAAGCACCCACAACTTCTGAAGGAAGTCATTCCATTTATTAATTGTTCTAACTGTCAGGAAATTTCTCCTGACCCTGATGTCATGGCCTGAGAAAGTGTGAGTGGACCAAAGTCACCCATGTGGTTTTCATGCTGAAGGCAAAACTGGAACTCACAGTCTCCTGGTTTTTTAGCCTGGGGCCTTCACCACTAGATCATAAAGGCTCTAGGTCAGAGGTAGGCAACCTTGGCTCTTTTATGACTCGTGGACTTCAACTCCCAGAATTCCTGAGTCAGCATGGCTCAGCATGGAAACCTCTCCCTTTCCCCTCAGCATGGCTGGCTTAGGAATTCTGGGAGTTGAAGTCCACGAGTCATAAAAGAGCCAAGGTTGCCTACCCCTGCTCTAGTTCAATCCCTCTAGTTGAGAAACCCCCAACCTTTCCAGCTTGGCAGCCCAAAAGGAAAGGGAGCAGCAGGGAATTGTGCGCATGTGGCCTTGCACACGCATGTGCAAACAGGCACGTGCACGATGGTGGCACTCGCGCATGTGCACACACAACCAGACCGTGAGCACTGGCGGCGCACCTGCTAGCGCACGTGCGCATGCAGGCCACTAGCACCCGTGTGATGCTGGCAGCAGTGCTAGCGTCCCTGTGCATGCACAAATGGAGCTGCTAGTGCCTGCGCCATGGTGCTACCGCAGGGGGGGGGCTCGCCAGCTATTCCTGGGACCTAGTGGCCAACAGGCCACGGCCTGGTACCGGGCCGCGGACCATAGGTTGGGGACCCCTGCTCTAGTTAAAACCCACAGAGGGAACAGCACTGAAAGACAGAGAAAGGCCTGAGATTCTCACTCTCATAGAATTATAGTGTTGGAAGCTATGTTAGAGGTCACCTAGTCCAACCCCATGCTTAATGCCAGACTATTTAAGATTCAAATTTGTGACAAAATTTTATGATTTTTTCTGCAATGGTCATTAAGTGAATCCTTCGGTTGTTAAGCAAACCAATGGCTCACGAAGAGTGCAGTTTTGCCAAAAACCGGAAGTAGATGCCGGTTTTTGATAAAACCAATGCAAAACATGGCCACGTGACCATGGGACGTTGCAAATGGCTGTAAATGTGGCCTGGTTGCTGAGCTCCTGATGTGCAGGATGAGTCATGTGGGAACTTCAAATCCAAGTTGTAAGTGTCCCCAGATAGGTCTGTCAGAACAGTTGCTAAGCAACAGGTCGTAAGTTGAGGACTAACCACGTAAACCAATTCTCAACCAGGAACCCCAGCAACATTTATTTTTTTTTACATAATTTTTTCCTTACGCTCCCATCAGACCAGCTCTATAGTGCCTCCTGTCTGTTGGTATTGCTGTGGCAGATAGGAAAGCCCATTTGGGCAAACTTCTCACATCTGTGTACAAGATATGATGCTTATAATAAACTACCAGTGTCCCAACCTGGTGACAATAAAGCTATCAGTGTCCCAACCTGGTGGAATCTTATAATTATCAGCAAGCGGAATGACCGTTGTACTCAGTGAAATTAAGAGGGAAAAAGCTGGGGGGGGGGGGAACTCTCATAAAATGGAGCAGTTCCTGGATGCCAGGCAAAGCAGCAGCTTTGCAGATGGACTGTCAAATATTTGAATTCTTTTTTTTTTTACCTCTCCTTCTTTTATATCAGTGTTTCTCAACCTTGTGGAAGAATAGAAATAGAAATAGAAATAGAAATAGGAATAGGAATAGGAATAGGAATAGGAGTAGGAGTAGGAATAGAACAGAACAGAATAGAATAGAATCTTTATTGAGAATAGAATAGAATAGAATAGAATAGAATAGAATAGAATCTTTATTGAGAATAGAATAGAATCTAGAATAGAATCTAGAATAGAATAGAATCTTTATTGAGAATAGAATAGAATCTTTATTGAGAATAGAATAGAATCTAGAATAGAATAGAATAGAATAGAATAGAATAGAATGGAATGGAATGGAATGGAATGGAATAGAATAGAATAGAATAGAATAGAATAGAATAGAATAGAATAGAATAGAATAGAATAGAATTTTTTATTGGCCAAGTGTGACTGGACACACACAAGGAATTTGTCTCCAGTGCATAAGCTTTCAGTGTACATACCAGCAACAAGTGATAACTCATGATTATTATCATCATAAAATACATTCATCATAAATATAAATCATAAATAAAGATGTGGATTCAACTCGCAGAATTCCCCAGTCAGTCATACTGGCTAGGAAAGTCTGGAAACTGAGCTCCACATTTTAACGTTCCCAAGGTTGAGCAAGACTCAACCTTGTATAGCTCCTTCATTTCTTCAGCCACCCAAGCAGCGTTTCTTACTACATAATTGCTATCAGACACAACTGCCAAAAACACAGCAAAGCCACACCTCAATCTCATTATGAAGCGTTTCAAAACTCTGATCCGTAAAATCGTAAGCTCACAACTACAGATGTATGTGAAATTAGCCTTCTTTGTATTTATATGACTAGGAGCAGAACACTCTAGCCCTTAGGTGACAAAATTATGCTTTCAGATATATGCATTGCATGTTTCTGCATTAGCAAATTTAACAGTTTACATTCATTTGAGAACGGCCTGCTATGGGGACCCTAATCTGGCCTGGACTTTCTCTTGAAGACTGTAATTTCTATATAAGATTAAACAGGGATAGGGAGATTTGAACTCTTGACAAGCCAAACCCTAATCTTAGCTAGAGGAACGCAACAGTGGATGCAGCATGAAAAACTAGAAGCTAGCTCTCAGGCAAATGCATGCAATGTCCTCAGGCTTGATATTTCAGGAATGCTACTGTTTTCAAATGGGTGTTCCTCCTCTTCAGCTAGGATCCCTAAGTAGGCTGGTAGGAATAACAGAATTGGAAGGGACCCTGAAGGTCTTCTAGTCCAACCCCCTGCTCAAGCAAGAAATTTTATACCATTTCAGACAAATGGTTGTCCAATCTTTTCTTAAAAACCTCCAGTGTTGGAGCACCCACAATCTCTGGAAGCAAGCCACTGATTAATTATTCTCACAGTTAGGAAATTTCTCCTTAGTTCTAGGTTGGTTCTCTCCTTGATTAGTTTCCATCTGTTGCTTCCTGTCCTGTCCTCAAGGGCTTTGGAGAAAAATTTGACCCCCCCCCCTCTTTTTTGTGGCAACAGGAATGGTTATTAGCGGTAGATGCAGGCTGCCTTCACACAAAATACTAACTTTGGTTTAGCCACGGTTTATTAAATCAACCATAATGGGCAGGATTCAATCGATATGCTAACTCACAAACCATGGTTTACAAGCTACAATAACCGCTTCAGACAGTATGCTATAATATAAGCAAGCAAATGCTTAGCCTATATACATAGCCTTGCAGATGCTGCTGAACTATTATTTCCAGAAGCTTCAGCCACAGCCCTGGATTAACCATTAAGTAAAATAAGACTCTGCTTAGGGCATTAAGGAATGGGGGGGGCACCCCAGAGTTATTTATTTATTAAACACATTTGCATAATCGCCCAACTCATGCATGGTGACTCTGGGCAGCTTATAACATTTAAAATTCCACAATGTGAAAACCTATAAACTACCCAACCCCATTTTGATATAATCTAATATTCTAAGATAAAGGTAACAATATCTAGCTGACTTTTGCTGATTTTGAAGAATTAAGCAAGGCCAAAACTATTTGGTAACTGGAAAAGAAGACCAACCCCCAAATCCCAAAAGTGTGTACTAAATTCATGTTTTAAAAAAAAATGGAAAAAGCCATTGGCAAACCACACCCATATTCTCGCTAAGAAAACTGGCAACTTCTATGAAGTTATCGGAGTTGAGGTAACTTCAGCTGTCAGCATCATTCTCAAGGATGTGGCATTCAAACTCTTTTTTCTCTTTATCTCTTTGATCCCTCTGTTCTCAAATTCTTTAAAAACTTGAGTTGTGGCATTCTTGGTGTTAGTCTCTGAGCTTGGCTGTTTGCTTGTAGATGTTTCATGATCCAACTACTAGATAATATCTACACTCCCTCACACTGATGATGTAACCCGGTTGGATCATGAAACATCTGCAAGCAAACAACCAAGTTCAGAGAGCACCAAGAACTCCACAGTTCAACCCCTCTGAGCTACAGATATCTACTGAAAAACTTGAATCAGAAGCAGGGGTACCTGAAGACTTGTCAGGCAGAAATGGAGTGAATATCTCAACTGCTACAGCAGGCAGAACATAACCCTTATTTTTCGGAAACAAAACTTTAGGAGAAACTT